AGTCGGACATGACTGAAGTGACTTAGCAGTAGCAGTCTCCCATTTTGAGGGTTGTCTTTTCACCTTGTTTGTAGTTTCCTTTGCGAAAGCTTTTAAATTTAATTAGGTGCCACTTATTTATTTTTGTTTTTATTTCCATTAGTCTAGGAGGTGGGTCATAGAAGATCTTGCTTTGATTTGTTCTACCTATGTTTTCCTCTAAGAATTTAATAGTTTCTGGTTTTACATTTATGCCTTTAATCCATTTTGAGTTTATCTTTGTGTATGGCATTGGGTAGTGTTCTAATTTCATTCTTTGGCATATAGCTGTCCAGTGTTCCCAGCACCACTCATTGCAGAAGCTATTTTTGCACCATTGTGTATTTGTGCCTTCTTTGTCAAAAATAAGGTACCTATAGGTGCATGGGTTTATCTCTGGGTTCTCTATCTTGTTCCATTGGTCTATATTTCTGTTTTTGTGCTAGGATCATACTGTCTTGAGGACTGTAGCTTTGTAGTATAATCTGAAGTCAGGAAGGTTGATTCCTCCAGCTCCATTTTTCTTTCTCAAGACTGCTTTGCTATTTGGGGTCTTTTGGTTTCTATATGAATTGTGAAGTTTTTTGTTCTGGTTCTGTGAAAAATGTCATTGGTAATTTGATAGGGATCACGTTGAATCTGTAGATTGCATTTGATAGTATAATCATTTTCACAATATTGATTCTTCCTACTCAGGAACATGGAATATCTCTCCATCTGTTTATGTCATCTTTGATTTCTTTCATCAGTGTCTTATAGTTTTCCATATACAGGTCTTTTGTCTCCTTAGGTAGGTTTATTCCTAGATATTTTATTCTTTTTGTGGCAATTCTGGGGGGACTCCTCTTCCCCTAGTCACTGTGTTCTACTTTTGAGAGCCCGACTTTTATTCTAACTCAGGCAGAATCCATGTCATCAAGACTCCCTCTCTCTCAAAAAAAAAAAAAAAAAGACTCCCTCTCTCAAGAACTGTCCTGCCTAAGAAGCATTGTCACTGTGATTACCTGTTCCATCAGGTTGGACCCTTAGCAACTGATGTTGGAGTTTATTATATTCCCTTACAGTGGGGTGGTCCTGACTGGTCCTGGCCAGTCCATGCAACTCTAAATTCTTGCCAGATTTTGCTAGATTCCCATTCACTATCCCTTCCATTCTCCTGGTATTAGTCTTACATTGCTAGAGTGGGCTGTTTTGTTGGTATTTCCCAGATTTGAAATTCTCACTCCCAGACCACTAGTTATTGATGCCATCTTTTTTCATTCTTGTTAATGGGAAAATCCAGGAGATGAGATTTGGTAATGGGCATCCAGCAGTGAATTGTCAAGGGTAACTGGCATGAATGCCTTGTTCACATCATAGGGTTTCCAGACCAGTATCCAACTCCAGATGCCTCTACTGTGTCCTGTATGAATATTACATATGCATAATCATGAATTCATATTCATTAATTCCCTGACATATGAATTCCTGAAGAGCTCCATCTCCATTTGGGGTTGGTGGTGAACAGGGAGGGAGATGTTTTTCTGTGTCCTGGGATTCAATGTTTTTCCAGAACAACATTGTTCCCTCTTGGTCTCTCCAGTTTTTCAGAGTTTCTGATCTTGTCTTTCTTTGCACCTCTCCCCTTGAATCTTCCCTCGAAGCATGATTTGTTCTTCCCTCCCTCTCTTCCTTTCTTCTTTCACAATTTTGAGAGATTAATCTTAGTCTCACGCTTTGCTTTCTCATGATCTTGGAACCTATTGTGTGCTCTCTTTGAGCTCTTTCACTCAAGCTCTGAACTACATACAATACCACCATTACTATTTCCAAGAGTCAGATTACCTTGGTGCTTTTCTTTGTTTCCCAAAGAGAGCAGGTTTTTCTTGAAAAACTTCCCAAGAATCACGTGACATCTGCAGAAGTCTATAAAATGATGCCTCAAGTCATTGCAAAGAAAAAGCTTTCTTCCTCATAGTTTTTAGAATTTGAAGTGAAAGTTAGTCACTCAGTTGTGTCTGACTCTTTGCTACCCCATGGACTAGAGCCTGCCAGGCTTCTCTGTCCATGGAATTCTCCAGGAAAAAAATACTAGAGTGGGTTGCCATTTCCTTCTCCAGGGGATCTTCCTGATCCAGGGATTGAACCCACGTCTCCTGCATTGAAGGCAGATTCTTTACCATCTGAGCTACCTTCTAGAATTCAGGTCAATCCAAACCCAGGAGACCTGAACCATCATCTCTGGGATTGTATACTCAATCTTAAAATGGTCTCAAGTATTTACTTGGAGGCTGAGAATGAAGGAAAGAGGAAGAGTCATATGATTTCCATTTAGATTGAGAATCTTTTCCCTGGAAACACAGAGGCCTCCCTGCTGCTTGCTTCCTTTTATGCATCCTGTTCAGAGGATGGCAGGATTACTCCCTAAACATATTACTGCAGCTCTTCCAGCAGATTCTCTCTTCTAGGAATGTCACGAATGAATTACCATGTGGTGTTGGCATGGGGCCTCAACCAGCAGGAGCCAATTATTTTAAAAATTTCCAAGCAAATCAGATCAGCATTTCACAAGTTACCGGCCAAGAATCTTCAGAAAGTCGGGTGGCATTCCTTTACGACAGTGTGTTGCTGACCTAAATGGGTACCAATCTCACCATCCCCAGGTCCACAGTCCCAGCTCCAGGGGTTTTGTCAGGACACCTGCTCACACCCTTTTGCAGCCATCTAATTCGGTAATTTCACATATCAAAACTGTAAATGGATGTTTGATCAGATCAGATCATTAAATTTTCTAATTAGGCAGCACAGACTTCCTTTGCCAGATGGATTGAGCTGCACCTATTTGTGACACAACTTAATCACACTTTGCTTCACTGTCAAGGCCATGTTTCAGGGAGGAAATATGTTCTCTTGGCTAGATTAAACATATGCCGTCCAAACCCGACATCTCCAGCTAAGAGAAGGAGACTTTGCTGAATCTGAACATGTAAGAATGTATGTCACTGTTAAGATACATTAGCAATCAGCAAATCAGGAGATTCTGCCATGTCTGATCTGAATTCTTAACAAAACAGTCTGTTTATGGAGAGAATGGACTCAGCTTTCATTAGTTAGCACAGCAAATGGATATTCACAAATATTTAGCCTTAGGGATGAAACAGTCAGCTTGGAAACAATGTATCATAGTGTTAGTTTTTGCTGTTTATGTTTCTGTGAACTGTCAGGATATCTGGAGATGGTTCTGTCCCTGACAGACAGGTACTCCAAAGCATAAAGTGACATACTCAAATGTCACTTGGACATCAACTCTAGGACTCTGTGCCTCCTGCAATCTAATCTAAATCCTTTCTGATAAAGTTTCATTCTGTTTCATTGTGTTCTGTTATCAAGTGATACAGGCTCCCTCAGTCACCAACATCCACACACAGTAGATGTTTTACTCACCGGGAAGAACTGGGTCATTTAAGCACTGAGGATCCAATGAAAAACATTAAAAAAAAATCTCACAGTGAAACTATTTGTAAAATTGTAGTCTGTTGCTTTTGTCTAAACAGTGCTGTTAACTTTGATTTTGTGGTTATTGCATTATAATAGGATCTGGAGCCTGTTCTTACCATTTTGCAGAATTGTCACTTCAGGGGATCAGTCTGAACCAGTCCTGATCTCCAGGCATGTGTCTCTGAATAGGGACCACCATACTGAGAGGGGTTTGTTGTTACAGTTGTTTATCCCTTTCCCCTATATCACTGGTGGCTCAGCTGGTGAAGAATCTGCCTGCAATGCAGGATACCTGTGTTTGATCCCTGGATTGGGAAGATCCCCTGGAGAAGGGAAAGGCTACCTACTCCAGTATTCTGGCCTGGAGAATTCCATGACTGTATAGTCTATGGGGTCACAAAAAGTGGGACACGACTGAGCAACTTTCACTTTACAATAGGAGGAAAATATACTTCTGTTCCTTGACATACTTCTTTAGGTTAATTTCAGTTATTTCCTAGCCTATGAGTAAAAATGCATCATATTAATACTAACACTTAGATTTAATGGTCACCATATATTTTGTATCTAAAATTCATGGATTAGAACAGATACAGCACTTGATCTCAGCCAAAGGCAGAGAGCAACATAGATGGACCTAGAGATTTGAATACTGACTGAAGTAAGGCATACAAGAGGAGGAGAAATAGTGTATGATATCCTATATATGTGGAATCTAAAAAGACATGCTACAAATGAACTTATTTACAGATCAGAAACAGACTCAAAGACTTAAGAGAACAAATTTACGGCTGTCTGGGGGAATGATTGAGAGAGGATAGTTAGGGAGTTTGGAATGGACATGTACATGCTGCTATATTTAAAATGGATCACCAACAAGGACCTACTGTATAACACAGAGAACACTGCTCAGTGTTATGAGGCAGACTGGATGGGAGGGGAGTTTGGGGGAGAATGGATACATGTATATGTCTGGCTGAGATGGCTGAGTCCCTTCTCTATTCACCTGAAACTATCATAACATTGTTAATTGGCTATACAAAATAACAAGTTTAAAAAAGTAAAAGCAAAAGTAAAATGCATGGATAGATATGTAGTTTCCTGCCCCTACATGTGCCTGAGAATTTTCCAGAGGTTGCCTCAAGTGCATCAAAAATTGGTCTCAGTTCTCACTTGCTGTTAAGCTGGCCGGCCCAGCCCTCTGAACTGCTGGTGAGAGGCAGGCCGTGTTCTGATCATCCACACCTTGGCATTTTATTCCAGATCCCTGGGCTTTCACTCAGAAAAGCTGTGAGTCTGTCACAGCCATCTCAGAGCAGGTAACATTTGGGTGACCTTGAGCAATACTGCTTTTATTTGGGGGTTAGGGAGGGAGCGAAGAGGGGGATGTTAGTTCTCTACATTTTTCTCAAGTGAGGGCAGCGATGGCTGGAAGCTTAGGGTTGTGGCCCAGGCCCCATTGTTAGAGTTCCTTTTGCCCAGCTGTCTTCTCTGACTTGATCCCCTCACACTGCTGTACACCCCAGGCCATTGTTGTCCGTCTTGTAGGGCTGGATTGAATTCTCTTCGTCCCACCTCGGGGTGGCCCTGAAGGAGAACCACAGAAGGCGGTGGCGGATGCCCTTGGTGCTCTCCAAGCCGTGGCGGCCCCGCAGTCTGTAAGGACACGGGCTGCCCCACTCCGTGGGGAGGGCGCTGTGACTCAGATGGATAGCGTGTCCCAGCTGGGTGGCTGGGATCCCGGAGTGCGCCTGACTTCCGTGAATGGGTCCTTTCAGCCCCCTCACACTGCCCCTTTCTCCGTGAGGCATACTCAGCACTGTGGCGGCTGCCTGGGCTGGGGCTCCCGCAACAGCTGCAAGGCGCATCTGGAGCCACAGATCCTCTCCTGCCTGGAGCCCTGGCTCTCGGGGACAGCCTTCTCTCTCACGGAGCCCATCTTCCTTCTCACAAAGCCCCAGAGCACTGCGAGTCTGGTGACCCCTCCCCTACATAGATGGGGTCCAGTTATTCTTCCCAGGGGGCTCTGTAGCCCTCATTTAAGTTGAGTGACAGGAGCAGAAGAGGAGGGGGAGAGCATTAATCACCCCCACATGCCTGATGCGCTGAGCACCATCTCTGCTCCCCGCAGTAGCTTCACAGACCAAGGTTTCCTGTTATCTTCCTTCATCTTATAAAAAGAAACTTGTGTTTCTATTCTGCAAATGGCCTTTTTTTTCCCCTTAAGGCCCACTGAGTGGGGCAAACTATATACTTTTGGCAGTTTTTATATATTTTAATTTTAAAGCAGTTTTGTTGAGGTATAATATATGTATATACAATAAATTGCACATATTTAGAGTGTATAATTTGATAACTTTTGATATATACCTGTATCTGTGAAATTGTAGCCACAAATCAAGATAATGAACATATTTATCACACCCGAAAATTTACTTCTGTGTGCCTTAGTAATCTTTTTTATTATCTGGCTTCTTTCACTCAGCATGATCACTCTGAAATGTATCTATGCTATTGTATGTGTTAAGAACTCATTCCTTTTCGTTGCTGAGTAATATTCCAATGTGCAGGTATATGGTTATGATTATTCAGCCACAAGTTGATGGATATTTGAGTTATTTCCAATTCCAGACTGTTATAAATGAAACTGTTATGAAAATTCATTTACAAGTCTTTGTATAGATATATGCTTTTTGTTTTTATTTTATTTATTTTCTTTTAATTAATTAATTTATTTATTTTACTTTATAATATTGTATTGGTTTTGCCATACATTGACTTGGATCCGCCATGGGTGTACATGTGTTCCCCATCCTGAACCCCCCTCCCACCTCCCTCCCCATCTCATCCCTCTGGGTCATCCCAGTGCACCAGCCCCGAGCACCCTGTCTCATGCATCGAACCTGCTATTTTTTTTGCATTGGGGTACAGCCAATTGACAATGTTGTGATAGTTTCAGGTGAACAGCCATATGTATACATGTATTGGACATATGCTTTTGCTTAAATTAGATAATACCCAGGAATGAAACAGCTGGGTCACATGGAAGTCTTTAATTTTTAAAGAGACTGCCAAACTGTTTTCCAACATGATCGCTGTTCATCTCATTGGACCACACTGATTTCTCTTCGCTCTACCACTGGATGGCCCTGAAAGAGAACCACAGATGGCAGCAAATACCCTTGTTGTTTTACATGTTACATTTCCACACATCTTCACTCATGATTGGTATAATCAGCCTTCTCAGTGTTAGTCACTCTAGTAGGTAGCTAGCACATGTCATTTGGGTTTTAATTTGCATTTTCTAAAGTTGAATTCTGTGAAGCATATTTTCATGTGCATTGTCAACATCTATATATGTTCTTCAATGAAGTGCTCATTCAACTCTTTTGCCATTTATTTAGTTATTTTCTTCTTAGTTTTGAAAGATCTTCATATATTCTGGATACAAATCCTTTATTAGATATGTGCTTTACAAATATTTTCTCCCAATCTGTGATTTGTCCTTTTATTCCCTTAAAAGTATCTTTTTTAAAGCTGTTAAAAAATATTTATTTATTTGACTGAGCTGGATCTTAGTTGTGTCACATGGGATCTAGTTCCCTGACCAGGGATTGAACCCAGGCCCTCTGCATTGGGAACAAAGAGTCTTAACCACTGGACCACCAGGGAAGTCCCTAAAAGTATCATTGAAAAGCAGAAATTCTAAATTTTTGATGAAGTTCAATTTATCAGTTTTTTTTTCTACTTTAGATCATGACTTTGATGTCATATCTAAGAAATCTTTGCATAACTTAAGGTCAAAAATATGTTTACCTGTGATTCCTTCTATAATTTTAGGTATTATATTAAGATCTTTGATGTTTTTTGAGTTACTTTTTAAAAAATAGTAAGTGTGGATCAAATTTAAAGTAGAAAATGTGGACCAGGAGTGAATTCTCCAGGTCAGAATACCAGAGTGGGTAGCCATTCCCTTCTCCAGGAGATCTTCCCAACCCAGCTACTGAACCCAGATCTCCCACATTGCAGGCAGATTCTTTACCATCTGAGCCACCAAGGGAGCCCTTTAAAATAGAAAATGTGGACCAAATTTCTTTCCGTTTCTTTTCTTTTTTTCCCATTTTCTGGCATATAGATATACCCTACTCTAGTACCTTATGTTGAAAAGACTATCTTTTCTCCACTGAATTGTCTTTGTACCTTGTAAAAAGTCAAGTGTCCATATATATGCATGTCTATGTCTGGGTTGTTTATTCATTTTCAATGATTTATTTATCTTGCCACTAATATCAAAATGTCTTGAAATCAGGCACTGTTAGTCCTCACACTTTGTTTCTTTTTCAAAGTTGTTCTAGCTATTCTAGGTCTTTTGCATTTCCATAAGAACTTTAGAATCAACTTGTTTAGATTTCATCAGGATTGTATGAATCTATAGGTCAGTTTGGGGAAAATTAATATAACAATATTGAGTTGTTTGACCTATATCTATCTATTGATATCTGTATCTATCTGTGTAGTTAGGTTATAATTTCTCTCAACAGTGTATTTTAGTTTTCAAGATGCAGGTATTGCATATTTTTTATTAGTTTTCTTCTAAGTATTTAACATTTTTATACTATTGCAAATAATGTTCCTATTGTTTAGTCGCTAAGTCATGGAGTCCAACACTTTTGTGACCCCATGGACTACAGCCCACTAGGCTTTTCTATTCATGGATTCCTCCAGGCAAGAATACTGGAGAGGGTAGCTATTTTCCTTCTCCAGAGGATCTTCCTGACCCAGGGATTGAACCCACATCTCCTGCATTGGCAAGCAGTTTCTTTAATGTTGAGCCAACCAGGGTAATGGATCAACGGACTGGTTTAAAACTGGGAAAGGAGTACATCAAGGCTGTATATTGTTACCCTGCTTATTTCACTTCTATGCAGAGTACATCATGCGAAGTGTTGGGCAGGATGAGTCACGAGCTGGAATTAAGATTTCCAGGAGAAATAACCATTTCAGATGTGCAGATGATACCATTCTAATGGCAGAAAGCAAAGAGGAACTAAAAAGCCTCTTGATGAAGATGAAAGAGGAAAGTAAAAAAAGCTGGATTAAAATTCAACATAAGAAAAATTAAGATCATGGCATCTGATCCCATCACTTCATGACAAATAGATGGGGAAAAAGTGGAAACAACAACAGATTTTATTTTCTTAGTCTCCAAAGTCACTGCAGATGGTGACTGAAGCCATGAAATTAAAAGACACTTGCTCCTTGGAAGAAAAGTTATGACAAACCTAGACAGCATATTAAAAAGCAAGGACATCATTCTGTCAACAAAGGTCCATATAGTCAAACTATGGTTTTTACAGTAGTCATGTATGGATGTGAGAGTTGGACTATAAAGAAGGCTGAGCACCAAACAATTGATGGTTTTGAATTATGGTGCTGGAGAAGACTCTTGAGAGTCCCTTGGACTGCAAGGAGATCAAAACAATCAGTCCTAAAGGAAATCAATCCTGAATATTCATTGGAAGGAATGATGCTGAAGTTGAAGCCCTGATACTCTGGCCACCTGATGTGAAGACCTGACTCATTGGAAATGGCCCTGATGCTGGGAAAGATTAAGGGCAGGAGGAGAAGGATGAGATGGTTGGATGGCATCACCGACTCAATGGACATGAGTTTGAGCAAGCTCTGGGAGATGGTGAAGGACAGGAAAACCTGGCATACTGTAGTCCATGGGGTCTCAGAGTCAGACATGACTTAGAAATTGAAAAGCAACAACCAATTTCAATCAATTTTAATATCTTTTGTAAAGTCATATTCTGCTATATTTTCTACATAGACAATCGTATCACCTGCAAAAAAAGAAAGATACTATCACCTTCTCTGTTTCAATCTGGTTGCTTTTTATTCCTTTTTCTTCACTTATTGCAATAGCAAAAACTTCCAGTACAGAGCTGACTAGAAATGGTAAATGAATATCCTTGCCTTGTTCCTCATCTCAAGAGAGTAAGCATCCAGGCTTTTACCATTAAGTATGATGTTAGTTGTTGGTTATTCATAGTGTCATTATAGATTGAAGATCTCTTGTATTTCCAGCTTGCAAATAATTGTTTCTCTTTATTTTATTTTTTTTTTTTCTGAACTCTCAAAAATTTATTTTGGAACATGTTTCTCTTTATAATCATGGATAAATGATGGATTTTTGTCAATTGGAGCATCTATTGAAATGATTGACTTCCGTGACGGCTCAGATGGTAGCAGCTGCCTACAATGCGGGAAACCCAGGTTCAATCTCTGGGTGGGGAAAACCTGGAGAAGGAAATGGCAACCCACTCCAGTATTCTTGCCTGGAAAATCCCATGGATGGAGGAGCCTGGTAGGCTACAGTCCGTGGGGTCGCAAAGAGTCAGATATGACTTCACTTTCATTGAAATGATCATACAGGGTTTTCTTTGTTTTTTACTACGGTATGCTCAGGTCTTCAGTCTTTCAATTGTATCCAACTCTTTGCAGCCCCATGGACTGTAACCCGCCAGGCTCCCCTGCTCATGGAATTTCCCAGGCAAGAATACTGGAGCGGGATGCCATTTCTTACCTATATCTCCTGCATTGGCAGGTGGATTCTTTACCACTAGTGCCAGCCGGGAAGCCCCCTAATATGGTGAATTATTTCAAATGTTAATATGGTGAATGGTTTCAAATGTTCAAACAGCTTTACACTCCTGGGATAAACCTCCCTTGGTCATGACATATTACCTTTTTTATACCTTGTTGGATTTGGACTCTAGCTTGTTTACAATTTTTGCATTTAAGTTCATGAGAGACATTTTTCTTTGTTTTCTTTCTCTATTTTCTCCTAATGTCTTCGATTTTA